GAGTATATTCTTATATTCATAAATGTTAAACTTGACAAAAAATGATCTGACCTATTTTGAGCCGAGATTTAACTCAAAAATATTGGGTTTTGAACAAAATTTTTATTGACCGAATTCGAAGTTGGCCACACTCGAAATGACCCGCTATTATACACTCGAAATGACCCGCTAATAATAGGTCAAACCTGACCGAATCCGGCATGACTGACTTGCTAATGTAAGAAATTTTCAAAAATAATATATTTTCGTATGAAATGTAATGTTATAAAAATAAAATTATAATTATATTTCTTTTATTATTACTTGTTTTCAATGTCACATAATTATCTTACTTTTTTCAAAAAAAATTCTATATTTAATTTTTCATTTTTAATATTTACCCTAGCTCATAAAAATTACTTAAAATTTCAATAAATAAATAAAGGTCATAATCTCGTTGGGTCAATCCGAACCCGAAGACACTAAAAAGTCGTGAACATGTAGTTCTAAACTCAAACCCAAACTTACTCGAAACTGGAATAATCCAAACCCAAAGTGATCAAATCTAACATGACCGACCGGTTTACCAACTCTAATAAAGGTGTACAAAAAGCACTAACCAAGAAACTTAATGCGTGTTTCTCTATACTTATAAGTTGATCAGAACTAATTATAAGTTATTTTTAACCTACATGATAGGTTAACGGATGCCATGTTTTTCCTCTGTTATGATGGGACATGGGGTGTCATCACCACCATCCTCATTTCAAATCAGCGTTACATCAGCTTTTTCAGCGTTATGAGTATTTGTTTGCACTTTTTCAAAAGAAACTCCCTAAGTCTCATAGTTATCTTCTTTCTTTTTTGTTTGGGTTGTCCCAAAACTTTAATCTTCTTTTCTTTTAAGCAAACAAATACTCTGTATGTGATTCATACTAATTCTCCTTTCTCATATTAAGTCATTTTCGGAAGATAATTTCAGCACTGAGCGGGTATATGAGAGAGAGTAATAGTAGGTACCAAAGTATGAGACAGCACCATGTAAATCTTTTTATTTGTATATTTTGTTGCATAAGAAACAAATCTATCAAATACCATTCACACCACAATTGGACAAACATTCAATTATAATATTATTTGAAATTAGTCAAAAACGAACTGTGTAAAATTTAACACTCAGTCATCTATGTGATATTCCAAACACTTTTTCATGATCTATTATCAATAATCTATTATTTTACACAAAGTTCTCTCATTATTCGATATTGAGTATATGAGCAATTTAAAAAAAATCATAAACAATATAAAGCAAAAATTTGGTTTAAAAAAGTTGTTATCAAACTGAAAAATATGAATAATCTGATCATAGTCAAGTTTGTAAATATTTGATCAAGTTCATAAGAAATTTAAAAAAGTTGGGCGTCATTATTTATTTTGAGAGTAAATGCCTACGCCAAATTTATGTCTATGTTAATCATCGATCCGAGTGTCCATGAATGCAATTCCGATCCTGGGAAGGAAAGGTGATTAATTTCTCTCCTAATTTGTGCGAAATTCCAAAGAAAATGAAAGGAGATGGTGAAGGAAAGCGCGATTGAAGAAGAAAAGGGGATCGGCGAAGATTGCGAAAAAGAGAGAGTAGGTCTGCGCATATACTCCCTTTTTTTCTTCCGGTTTATTGAGCGTGAATGACAACTCACCTTCCACCTCATCATTAGTTTATTAAGAATGTGACATGTCAGCTTTGCCACATGTCGTGCTATAACTCTGCCAAATGTCGCGTTTCTGCAGCTTGGAGTCTCCTTTTTATATACAAAGGATGTGAGAGAGATGAAGTGCATTTGAATAGGCCCGCCCAATGGGGAGTGCAAGAGGTGCTCTTGCACAGGGCCTGCAAAATGATGAGGCCCATTATAATTAAATTAAAAGCCCATGAGTTTATCTCAAAAGTCAATTAAGTACTCTGTAACACTCATGTTTAAGACTCTTTCTTCTACCTTCTTTGTTCTTCAACCAGGCTCTTCGGTTCCTTCTCCACCAGGAGCTATTACAAGTGCACAAGTCCAGGATGATGCCCGGTGAGGAAGCACGTGGAAAGAGCATCGGGCGACCTGAAATCCGTGATCACGGTGCGGTGTAGCTGTTGCAGTTCACTACTGCAACAGCTACACCGCACCTCCTGCCGCCAGCCTTGCTGCTGAGAGAACCAGCTTCTTCTGGTGTGAGGGAGCCAGCAGGATTACCATCCTTCCTTCCTTCCCATTTGAACAGAAACCTATTATTGCAGCAGGGGCGGAGATGCTTGACTGCTATGCAACCGACTTCAGATTTATGCCTTCCTCTGTTTAAATAAAATTCGTTTTTTAGTTGAGCCATCTTTAAATAGAAAGCATGTCGTTCCTTCACAAAGAAACTACCAAAAATAAACTAGGAAGCTTCCAATCTTCAAGTCTTATTCCCTTGTGATAAAATAACTCTGCAAATTTCAAAGGGGATCCACGAACAAGATTTTTGCTAGCAGGGGAACAAGAATTTCTACACAAGTGATATAGTTGTGTGCGTGTGTGTGCGAATGGCGATTTTGTTCCAAAAATCGAACTAAACAAAGTGATATAGCTATAGTCAGACTAAAAAACACCAAAAATAATGTCCTTGAATCACTACATAATTATTACGGAAGAAATGCTTACCAGTACAAACCATCTTGTCCTCCAAATCAGCCATAGACAGTGGAGGGAGAATGGGATAAAAACCTATGGGAAATCGCAACACAACAAACATGTTGAAATGAAAATGTACAATAATGAAGGCTCTTAATGAGAAAACAATCGAAAACTACTAGACAATACCCAAATGCCAAGTTAGGCAAACAAAATACAGTTAGGCTAGGGGGTAGTAAAAGGTTAAATGACAGAATCACCCAGCAAGAGAACAAGTGAGGCAGCTCCAAGACATTCACTTCAATGACATTTTCTGTGGAATCAATAACATTCTGTAAACATGTCACTAAACTTTATCTCTTCCTGTAGCTTAACTCAACGTATAAATAGGCCTATCATAAAACTGCCATCAAACATATATTGAAACAAGTAATGACAAAAAATGAAAATGAAAGCACAATCACCCATTTGCCTGTTCACGGATACAAATGTACCGCCAATGCCATGAGTTAATGGTACAGTTAATGATAGTACGATACAGAAGAAACTAGGGAAGGTTGAGTGAACGATAGTATGATACAGAAGAAACTAGGGAAGGTTGAGTGAACGGTTCCAAACATAGAGGAAGTGATAGTTGAAGCCATACATGTAAAATGACAGGGTCCGCGCATTGTCAAGCATGTGATTGCAGATGAAAGAGGATATTTATAGGCAGAGAAGTGAAGAGCCTGGATTCAATAATAAATACTCCATAGATGCCATAGAGTTGAGTAACCACTGACAACCTGTGGTCGTATTCAATTGAAAGAAATACCATGTGATTCTGCATTCATTCATACTCCGTACAACTGTTTCTTTGTGTTCTTGCACTGTTTTGAGTTAGGGGTCGGTCTCTCTACCGCTTTAGGTAGAAGTTTAAGGTCTGCATGCACTCACCCACAAGGTAGGTTGTCACTGTAAAAGAAATATGGTGTGACAATGCCAGAATTGAACTTATCTTTTTTGTTAATCTGAAGTACATTATCCTACATTCTTGTACAAATAATAACAGAGGAAAGGTAATTCAACAGGTGTCATAACACTCATAACACATAACATAGAGATAGACCCTTGAAAGTCTATCAATAGAAGCATGCACCTGTAGCAAAGCCATGAGATAAAACCAGCATGGCTGGGAACTAAATCCAATAGAGAGTTCCAATTTTCAAGTGTATAAGAGTAGAATTATCCTTAATCAGTAAGTCGAATTACTTTCAGCATTAGAATTCATATCACCAATAATGTAAATTCAGAAGCAGCAGTAATGAACTCAAAATCTGATCCTCTTTTGTTGGTGCTAAAACAAGAAAAAATACTTCATTGATGGTAAAGATAAGATTGCGAATTTCAGGGATGCACTCAAACACTTGATAATATATTCATAACAATCAAAATAACAAAGACAGGAGGAATGGTTATTTCAGAACGAGTGACTAACTGCCAGAAACAGTAATTCATAACCAGTTACAACACAAGCAGAATCAGGTTCACGATTAATTATAATCATGATCTTGTAGACAATAGATGGTGGTACAGATTGGATCATCACGAAGAAGCAGTAAAAGCAAAACAATTAAACGGGCGAGAAGCTTTTTCATTCACTTCTTAAGACTGCCACGGACGCCAGGTTTGGGCTTGGAAGTGTCGCCGAGAAGGGCGTGGAGATTTGTGACCTTTGATCCATCGAATGTGATAGTAGGGTGCCTGGACTCATGGTGGATCTCCATGGTTTTGATGCTGGGGGCAGTGACCTTGCAGAGCGGGCACGCAAACTTGGCATGCCCACCCTTGACCTCCCCCGTCCGATCGGCCTTCCCAGCCAGCCCCCCGCCGCGATTGGTCGTCGCCGCGTCCTCCTTCGCCGCTATCTCCTTCGCCGTATGCTTCTTCGGCTTTGCCTTCCCGGTCATGGCTCCCGCTCTCCTCTCTCTGCTTCCCAACCGGCGCCTATATTAGGGTTTGATAATTATTTGGGTGATCCACGCTCTCTCGTCTTCGATTCCCCTCGATCGGAATTATATATATATACTCCGTATATATATACATAAAGACGGGCGAACTCTATTCTACTCCCTCTTGTAAAAACCTTTTATCTTGGGATAATTTATGAAAAATAAATATTGTAGTTAAAAAAAATAAAAATGATACAAATGTAAAAAAATAATTATAAGAGCCACAAAATTATTTTTAAAAATAGAAAGTAAACCTTTTTTGAAACGAATTAAAAAAGAAAATGACTCGGGGTGTCGACAGTGCTCCGTTCGAAAATTGATAATTCATATCCCTCCGAACTCCCACCCTGACCCAAACTCGCCCTCCACCACCTTCAATTGCACCCCACAAAATCAACTAAATCTTTTGTGGTGGAATTAAAGGTGGTGGGGGTGGGTTCAGAATTGGGTCGCAATGGGAGTTTACCGGGGTGTTCGGAGAGGTAAGAACCGTTAATTTCCAAACGGAACATCGTAGGTGTCCCAATTAGAGCTGATTATAGTATGACATTAGGTTTCAATGTCACATTAACCCCTCCCTTTTGTGAGATATAAGGATTACATAAATTTTACCACATATTTCATTTTTTCTTAAATTTCGTGAACCAAGATACAAAAAACTTTTAATAGATAAAAGGAGCCATTTGTGTGTGAATATCTTGATGTTAGTGTTACGATCCGAGCTTAGGGCACAACTCACCTAAATGAAATAATTATGGGTCGTTTGGTGAGCGTAAAGGATATGAGTTTCTAAATCTCTCGATATCTTTTTTTTTTATGTTCACTGAAGCATAAATAGATTCAAATTTAATAACTCCAGATATTACAACTCTTTCAATCTCAAACGGGTCTGTTTGGTGAGGAAAAAAGATAAGTGATTCAATATCCAAGATATGAAGTTTCTAAAATATATGTTTGGTGAACCTTAAAAGGAATTTAGAATTGAAATCTGGAGATTTAGGAATTCGGCACAAAGAGCGCTTCTTCATATCCGATTAATTTGGTCGATATCAATCTTACGCTTTCAACCGATATCTCGCTTTCAAAGCCCTCCATCAGTCCATCCCTTCCTCAGTTGTCTGCTCTTCTTTATTTTTCAGTTTTTTTTCTTTTACCTTTTTTCTGCCATTTTAATTATAAAATGAGCATGCAATTTATGGAATTCATTATTCTGCAATTTCTAATCTTGTCCTCTCTTTTCTCTATTCGTCTTTTTTTTTTCTTCTTCAGATTTTACAATATTTTTTTTAAAAATTATCATCAGTTTTAATCTAAAATATTATCACTTCTTCAACTTTTGTCCAATTTTATGGAAAATTATTGATCCCGGAGAAAACTTCGAAAATTGTTTCTTCGTGCATCACACCTAAACCTTCAATTGAATCTTGATGAAGATTGTTTCTACAAATTTTTATGACAAAAAAGTCGAAAAGTGCATCTTTTCCAATTTTTCTGCTTTTAACAAATTATTCTCTGTTTAACAAATTTACAAATTGTTCTGCATTTAAAATTTTTAACTCGTTTTATATTTTTTTAACTTGTTCTATAACAAATTGTTCTTTGTTTAGCTTGTTTTGCGTTTATTTTTTTACATTGAATTTCTCAATTGCTCACCAAATAGTTGTGTCTGTAATTTGGTTTCATTTCTATTTTCTCCAAACACTCTACTTTCAGATTTCAAAACTCATATCATTTCTTTCAGATTTCGGAACTCATATCTTATCATATCCTCAAAACTCACTAAACGGACCCTTAGGTGGTATCAATATGGAGATTTGATATCTCCCTCACTTGTTTGGGCGCGAAAAGACACTGAGCACGCAAAGGTGAGCATCCTCACAAAATGCAACATTGGCGAGTAGTTTTTATTTTTTTCGTTGTTATTTTTTTCCATTGCTATTTTTTATCGTTGTATTTTTTTTATTGTAATTTTTTTCATCGTATGAATCCATTTAGTTCAAATTATGTTTAAATTAATATTTGAATTTATATGATTACAGAAAAACATTATCTAAAAAACAAAAAAATCAAAAAATTAAAAAAAAGATCTAGCCCTCTACCATTATCTACCTACAAGTGATGGGGCTTGATGGGAGACATAAGCCACATGACACCTACATGACGGTTGTCAATCCCCCTATCAAGCCCATGATAACACATATCCTTAAATCAAGGGCCACCTACACGCCCAAAACCCCTACACATGGTACATAAACCATAATTTTCAGAATCGGTCAAGGTACTGGTTCACTAGTTGAATCAGTGGTTCAAGTGGTCGAACCAGTAGTTTAAACATATTTAAAATATTACACACACACAGATATATATATATATATATATATATATATATATATATATAATTATTACTTTATAGGGCTGAGCAATGGTCGGTTTCGGTTTGAAAACCGATTTTTTTTAACATGGTTGAAAACCGACCGAACCGAAACGATCATAAACTAAACCCGACCGAACCGAAACCGAAAACCGCCCATATAATAAAAAAACCGACCGAAAAACCGAATTTTAATTACTTCTATTTTGACTTTTTAACATAAATTCAAGAAACTAATTTGGCAAGGTAGATTGATATGTATTAAATTAGTTTAGCTTAAGATTTTTCTATTGTCATTAATTAAGTAAGGTAGATTAATTTTTATTTGAATATAGACTATCTTTTTCATATAAAAATTGCACTTTTCTTATTAATATGTTCAAAACATTAACAAATAATTTTTTTAAAAGTGAAACATTAATGTTTTTCATGAAAGAGTAAGAAGAAAGCATGTGTGTTAATCAAATGTTTTCTTATTCTAAAAAATAAAAAATAAATTAACATAAAATTATCGGTTATTTGGTCGGTTCGGGTTTTTCTTACAAAAAACCGAGAACTGAACAAAAACCAAAAAACCGAAAATACATTTTACATGAAAACCGAAACCGAACTTTTGGTTATTTCGGTTTTCAGTTTTCGGTTTCGCAGTCGGTGCGGTTAATTTGCTCACCCCTATATAATAAAATTAATACTCTTCGGTGTACCTAAAAATTTATTATGTTTGATTGAAGTTATAATCAATTTAATTTATTTGATTAATAGAATTAGATTAAAAAAAGTTATGTATTCAAAATTAAATCAAAAGTTCTATAAAACGAGAGATGCGTTCATTTATTCACATAATTTGTCAATTATATTCCAAAAACATTCAAATAATTTTTTTTCCACAAAATGTATTTTAAATTAGTATGAAATTATCAATTGTATCATTTTATCAAAGTGTTAACCCAAAAATAATTTTTTTGATGCTTAATTATGCTTTTTATAATGGAGTATATACTTAAAGATGTAACAAAAACTATTCTTGCTTAGAAGGTGCACATCTTGACATAATGTCTAAGAGGCCAATAGTCCGAATCCATATGGTGTAATATTTTTGGGCAATTTTCGTTAAAAAAAATAAAATGGTTTTAACGTTTGAACTGGCTAGTTTGAATTTGTTTAGAGCATAATACAGGCCAAGAGACTGGACCATACCAGTTCGATGTCCAGTTCACAGGTCCAAACAGGCCGGTCTGGTTTTCATAACCATGACATGAACCCCTACACATGGAGGGGGGAAATCATATACAAAGAACTGATTCGAATCAAAAGCAATCCGACTACTTGTTTTTAAACGGTATTATGATACGAAGTACTAAATTATTACCCCCATTATTTCAAATTAATCATTTTACTTACTTTTTTAGTTTGTTCCAAAATAATTATCATACTCAATTACCTAATAAAATAAAGAATATGTAGTCCACACCCATTCCCTTTCTTAAATTTTGGGAAATCAAACAAACATGATTAATTCGGGACGAAAGGAATATTTGTTTGGGCATACCAATTTTGATTTTTCATCCTTGAATGAGAATGAAATTAATGGAATGAAAATTAGACGATTATAATGTTCACTTTGAAATTATTCCAGAGTACTGTGTATATCATTATCCTTGGAACAAACAACAACGTTACTCTAGTGCCTCAACGGCTCCCGCCCATTGCGAAAGTAAGAGGGGTCGGATGTCCCCAGTGCCTCAACGGCTCCCGCCCATTGCGGAGTAAGATGAGTCGGATATACGCAGTCTGATTAAAACATAAAGCAGTTGTTTCCTGATGACCCATGACGACCAGAAAAAGTTGCATTGACTAACTGCTACAAGTACTTCGCAATTGCAAGAAGCGCATGCAATTTGAAGAACCAATTTGTTTTTATTCCATCATTGTCCTTGGAACATGAAATTATTTTGAATGATCCGTCATGTATCCAAAAAAGTAGTGTTGGTGAAAAAGCTTGCATAGAATTTTTTTAATTTTATTCTCAAGTACTCCGTATACAAATATAAATTCAATTTTTGTTTACCCAAAAAAAATGAGTAAAAACTTGGCCAAAACTGGGAACAGATAAAAACTTTAGCTTCCCAAAAGTTAAGTAAACTGTAAAAAACTACTATGATGTTTGGAGTTTGGACAAGAACCAAAAAGACAGCAGCTTGAACTACAAGGTCAAAAAACAGAGAAGGATGAGAGCTATACTCGAGCGATCCCGGGCTTGTGGACACACTCTTCTTCTCTGTTGAGTAACCGCATCTTCCGTGAGGCATTGTAGCGGTAGATAATGCTCTGAAGGGAGTGTCGAATGGATGACGCATCATATTCCTCGAGAAACCCTAAGTCAGATTCTCTCCACTTTGTACCTGCAAAATGTCTGTATTCTTCCAACACAGATGACAAACACCAATTCTGCAACTTCCTTAGGCACCCGACCAGACAACCTGTTCGGTGCTGCAATGCACAACCGCGAGACAGGAACTTTTTAGGACCACGGGACTATAAAATGGACAGTTTTCTCTAGATAGGAGCACATATGCTTCTTTTTCCTTAACAAGTGCTACCTCTGAGGCTCTGTCCTATATACAAAGAGTCTTGTTTCTCAACTTGTTTGTCTCTTAAAAAGTCATACGGAGTATTTCTCAACTTGTGGAGACACATAGGCTTAATTACTACATTTCCTACATTCAAACCAAACTGTTTGGCCCTCTGACAACCACATCCCCACCCATCTTGGGTCACTACACACGGCAACCGGCTCATTGACCAATGGCCATTGCTGCCAGCTTATTGAATATTGGTCAATGGCCGAAGATGTAGGTCAATGAGCCGGTAAGCAAGCAGTGATCAAGTAAAGACTAGTCAATGAACCAGTAGCAGTGATCAATGGTCAAGCGGGGATGGCCGGGTTGGGTGCAAAGTGAAAGAGGGTGAGAGTATTTTGGTTGCATAATCGTCTCAGGAGAGTTTTTGTCCCAAAGTAGACTGCAGTGAGAAAGGTGCAATCAGCCCTTTCATATCAGTGATAAGTTGAAATAGAACAGCTGAACATGAGACTAAGTTAATAATGTAGACACACATGGTTTCTAGTTACTGAGACAAATCATACAAAATAGGGAAGTAAGTTAGTATGTTACCTTTCCACGCTTGCAATGGATAAGCACCGGATGGTTTCTCACGTCTAGACACAGAATTAAAAGAAGAGAGTCAATACACATTATCATAAACTTAATCGCATAACAAATAGTTGTAGAACACTTAAAAAGAAAGTAGTTCTAGATACAATATTATGTTCAATTGTATATTGAGAAAGAGGAAAAGAGCGTAAAACGATTCATGGGTTAGTAAAACAAATTCCTTTCCTCATAAAAGAAAGTATTTTCCCTAGAAATACAAACAATCCAGGGGAAAAAAATATTCAGCCGCACCAACAAAAGAAAATCAAGAAAAGCAATTTCTAGGAAACCATTTTTCGTCAATCAAATGGAGCCAAAGTAGTTAAGAGAATGAAAACAAAACATTTGCAATGTTCATGTCACCATAGTAAGGTTCATACCAATTAATACTCTAAGGGCCTCTGTAATGGCACTCCTGGGAATAGCAGATGGCTCCTATACAGAGAAGGATCTATCAATCAATTTATTTACTAACTAAAATCATGCCAACAAAGTAGTTGGTCAAGCTGTTAATAATTTGGGGGTACCAAAAAAATACAATTCATCCAGAAACATCCAAACACATGGAAAACATATTAAAGAAGAGATCAAACTCCTTTCAAAGGCCCCAAATGGTTTAATCCTGAATAAATTTATCCATGGCAGAGATAGAAGATTCAATGAAAAACAACATGAGATGAAAAGATCTTCTTCTTCACCTTGGTGCCTTCGATTCCAAACTGGAAAAGCTTGATTTTGTTTAGGCGGAGAAACTCCTTGTTCTCTTCAGGGTAAGGCTCCGGACACAGATATCTGTCGAAATAAAAAATGGTGAGATTTTCAATTTTTCATCCAAAATTCCAGATAGAAGACAACAAATTCAACGGAGATAGAATCCCATAATTTAGAAAGACTAAATACATGATAGAGCGAAGGTTGAGGGTTTGAACAAAGGGGAAATGGGGCGGCTGCGGGAACCCTGATCTGTAAATGCAGAGATCTTCCACCGCCGAGAAGTTGGGCGGCGGCAGCACAGGCCCACCGCCGCCCACTAGACCCACCTGTTTCTTGTCTTCTTCTCCCTCGAGAATCACGCACATTGTTTCTCCGAATTCAGTCACTTCTCCTCTCCGATTCCCACTCTCTTTCTCCAGAATCCGCATCGAATTATTGCTGCTGCGCCACCGCCATCATCACAAAGGCACAGCCGTCGCCGCCGTGATCCAATGCGGAGAGGAAGAGAGGCACATTCTTGTTTGAGTTTTTAGGGGAATCCAATAAAACTCCCAATCGTATCATGAATGGGGGATGCAGAGGGAGGGTTTTAGGACTGTAGGTGATGGGAAGTGATTAGAATTCTTTTTTAATTCTCTCTACAATACTCTCTTTCAAATTATATATACACTAAGCTCTATTGCATTTCAGTTTTTATCACTGAAAAATAATTTGAGTTCAAAAACATAAAAATGACTCGTGCAACGCACGGGTGTGATACTAGTCTTTTATTAAGGGGGTGTTTGTTTTTTCTGCAGGAAAAGGTCTGCAGTCTGCGGACCACTACTGTAGACATCTGCAGGAGAAGTGGTGGACCGAAAGTCTGCGGTCTGCAAGAAAAAGACTGTTTGTTTTTTTAATGTCTGTAGACTGCTATATAAATTAATGGTGGTAGTGTACGGTGGTGGTGTATGGACGATTGTGGTGGTGGTGGTGGACGTTGACGGCGGCGGCGGTGGACGATGGTGGTGGCGGCGGTGGATGGTGGCGGTGGTGGTGGACGACGATGGTGATGGACGGTGACGGTGATGGTGGACGGTGGTAGTGGTGGACGGTGGCGGTGAACGGTTGTGGTGGTGAAGAGAAGTAGAAAAAAAAGGAGACTCCAAGAAGATGTCAGGAAGACCTTTTTGAGTGAAATGTCTTCCAAAAAACAAACAATCTGCAGAGCCCATCATCTGCGCGCGTCTGCGCGGCGCAGACAAAAGACACCAGAAGGTCTTCTGGCGGAAAAACAAACAGCCCCTAAGTTAGTTTACACTTTACACTTATAAAAACTCATTCAAAATATTAATTTGAATTGAAAATATTATTCACAAATGAGACTGGTATTCAATGTGAGATCTGTTAAAGTTACAAAAAATAAATGTTAGAGTCACAAGAAAAAAACCATAAACTTGCCATAGATGCGAGTTCCATTTAGACTTAGACTTTGAAAAATTTAAGAAAAATTAACTAATCACAACTTTAGGTGATGTTTCAAAAACAATCTTATTTTTCGCAGTGATGAATAATTTTAACTTTACTGAAATTTGTGAGTTTTGGGTCACCGTTAAGTTGCTAACGACGGGTTAACGAAAATGTTTGTTTTGCGCAACAAAATGAATTCGATGAATTTTTGTTTTTTAATTTTTTTTTTCAAATTTTCATTTAAATTTTTAAAATTTCTTTCTACCTCCATTTCTTTTTTTTAAACTTTAGAAAAAATAAAAATACAAAGTAGATATAAAAAATAATGAAAATGAAAAAAAGTAATTAACACCATGTAAAATTAATGAAATACAAAAGGTAGTCAATAGAAATTAAACTGAAAACTGGTAAAAAAATAAAATAAAATGTATATGGAGTTGTGAGTTTTAACATTTTATGTATTATAATGAGTTTAAATGTACTATTGATTTTTTTAAAGAATAGGCCGGCCGGTAAAGTTGAAATTATTCCAGATAATTTTTCTAAAAAATAAGAAGTGGTACATTAATATTTTATATAGTACGTTAAATATTAAAGCCCACCACTCCGTATATATTAAATTATTCTATATTTTAATATTCTGTTTCTTCAAATTATTCTAGTTTCTTCCAACATCCAACATTCCAACTCAAAAGACCATAGCATATACTCCCTCCGTTCCAAAAAGATTTACACCTTTCAAAAAAATTGAATCCCACAATCTCCTACCCATTTCTTTTAAAAAACTACTTTACCTCTTACTTTTTCAAACCTTACCTATCACATCATACCTTTTTCCTAATAATCTACACATCACATCCTACTTTTACCCATCACATCAAGGGAATTTTTGGAAAGTCAACACAAAATTATCCCTCCCTTAACTTCAACTTTAGTCAAAAACGTGTAAATCTTTTTAGGACGGAGGGAGTATGACATTATAGATATTTTTGAACTAATAAATGGGATAAAAATATGGTTGTTGACTTACTTCATTTACTGTACATTAGTCGCTTTTACCCATGTACTTAATGAACAAAAGAGCCCTGTGTCTCCAATTTGATTACAAATTGCGGATTACGAGAATAAATTTTTCACTTTTTGAAATCATTTTATTTACAAATTGGTATATCAATAAGATATAAAAATTACATATTAAAAAACTGCATTAAAAGTTCTACAAAGCAATAGGTGACAAAAATATTTTATTTTATCAAATACTTAATAAAATTGCGTAAATAAACAAACGTTAACGAGAGGAGAAAAAAAATTGTAATCAAAATAGGGACGGAGGGAGTATGAGTTCTATCTTTTTAGATTTCATAACCTCGCTACAGGCTGGTGCAATCCTCGCCCACCGGCCCCTGCTCATTCTCTGTCGCAGTGTTGCTGATCACTATCGTCTATCACTATAAATCATTATTTCCTAAGAGTATCTCTCATATTTTAAAATTAATTTTTTATTTAAAGTTTCAAAAGTGATATCAAATATTTATCAATTCTTAAATCGAAACATTCAAATCATTACTTTCAGAATTGTACGAGTTTACATAAATACCCTCAGATACAATAAATGACATCAATGGTTTAAAAAATTTTCACTATTCACATCCGAGTTTCAAAAATTGGTACTCCCTCCGTCCCACTCTTTTTGTCCACTTTCATTTTTGCACACCATCCAATGCACTTCTTTAATCCATTTTATCTTGTAATTTGTGTATTAAAAAATTATAAAAATTATATATTAATAATCTACATGTTAAGACAAATCAAACAAGATCACACATGACTATTTTTAGACTTACACATTGAGAGAATTTGATGAGTCAAATTGCTTAGATGAACAGTTCCAAAAGTCAAAACTGGACAAAAAGAGTGGGACGGAGGTAGTATGTGTTTACATCAGTGTCCCTTATTTAGAGCACAAAAATAAACATATATCAATTCCCGGAGCAACGACGCGAATAAAGAAATGTTTTAGGAGTGTTCGTGTGAATTTTTTTCTTCTTAAATGCACTCTCATAAAAGTATGGAGTATTTTCCATTTGGAAAATGTTTGGTTTACAAACATAATTATAACAAATTTTACAAACTTATTACGGAGTATTTGTGAACTTTACGAGTATAATATGTAAATATGTTAATTAATGTTTTTTTTATGTAATTAGGGAGAATTAATTGCGAGAAAGAGAGGAGGGGAGTTGCAGGTAAGATGAATCACATCGGAGGAAGACATGCATGCATACATAATAACTCTCCCAACAAATCTTTATTATACAAACTGATTACCAATTAATTAAACCGCTCGTTCGATCCATCAATTAATGTCTCATCCGTCCGCCATAGCCTTCGCGCCATTGACTTCTTCTTCCTCCCCATCACCGATCATCCACCGCCGAATAATAATGGCGCCGGCAGATCAAACGCCCGCCGTCTGATCGGAGCAGACGATCGGAGCACTGTTCCAAATCGGGTTTTCTAATCATGAACATGCTGAAATCCTCAAACTTTGTAAGCCACTTAATTTGTTTTAGTTTTTTCCGAGATTTTTTATATCGTTTAGCTTTAACAATTTCAAGGTCAATTTGTGTTATCAAAATTTTATGTGAAATGTTGTTAGTGCCAATTGAAAACGATATTCTCTCTGCCATGCAGAAATAATTGCATATTTTGGATTCCAAAACCGAGTTTCTTTAAATTTTAATCTTTGATTCGTAAGACTGCACAAAAATTTCTCTTTTTGGAAGATTCCCAAAAAGAAATTTAAGAGGGTTCGATCCAAAACGAACAATATCATATTAATGCACGGTTGGGATGAGGATACCAGTGGTCCCAACAAAAAAGATAATAATACTCCGTATTTATAAATTGCGTGACAGATGTGTGATATTTATTTTCAAGTAGGGATAAAATTTACGTGATTCAAACCCTAATTTTTTGTGCAAATTTAATTACTTATGTGTGTATATATGACCTATATATTTGAACAAATGAAACAGATGTTTCCAATCATTAGAGATCAGAAGAGGAGATGGTGTGCATGCATGCTTATTCCTGTTACTTCTCTCTTCTGTTTGTTACTCCTTCTTGGGACTTCCTTCATACAGATTAGAAAAGAGGTGAAATTTTAAATACAGTTTTTACTTTATTTTTTATATAAAAAAATATTTTTTCTTGTGCCTAAATCAAAATGAACAATATAAAGTCTTTCTATATAAAACTGAATTGGTTGCCATTGTATTTCTAAAAATGCAGAAACTCTTGAGATGGAAAAGGGATGATTTGGATCAAACAAAATGTCAGGTTTGCTCTTTGCATAGTATTAAACATGAATATAAATGTTCACTCAAGTCCATTAATATGAAAATTATGTTTAAAGTGATGTTACAAATATTATATATTATACAGTAATTAAATGTGATCTTTATTAGGTAATAATTAATTAATCACATATGGTTTAGAATAGATGCAGACCTCCTGGAAGTGAGTCATTGCCTCAAGGCATTGTTGCAAAAACTTCTAACTTGGAAAGAAGACCTCTTTGGGGCTCTCCAAAGGTATCTTTTGTTTCTTCTTCAATTCTTCTTTTTAATCAGTAGAATGCTTTATTTATTCTTATTAGCTAGTATTATACTCCTTCCGTCCCTAAATATTTGCCACACTTGTATTCCCAAAGCAAAATATTAAGTTTTTTCAATTCATTTTATTTACATATTGGTATAGAAATAAAAAATAAAATTTACATATCAAAAAACTACATGAAAAGTTCTTCGAAATAAGAGGTGTCAAGAATATTTTATTTTATCAAATAACCAATGAAAATGTAGAAATAAACAAAAGTTCCCGCGATTGCTGAAAAACCAAACGTTGCAAATAATTTGGAACGGAGGGAGTATTCATATACTCCCTCCGTCTCGTAAAAATTTTCCGATTTTGACTTTTAAGTTATTTAAGGAAGGTGTATTTTGGTGTTTGACCTTCCATGCACAAAATCCTTAGGGTTTCTTTTTAAAAGTGAAGTTTCACATCAACGAATAATTAAGAATAATGAGAAGGGTAATTAAAAAACAAAAAGTAAGATGAGATGTGACGGATGAGATATGAGAAAGTAAGGTTAAAGAGGGGTATTTTAATCCATTTTGGAGAAATTGAAATATTTTATGAGACAGACAAGATGAGAAAGTTGAAATGTTTTGTGGACACTATATTTTGTACTCCCTCCGTCCCAAAAAGTCTTTCCTGTTTCATTTTTTGCACATATCGAGAAACACTTTTATCCCGCCTTGAATGCCAAAAAAACTTTCAAAATAACTTATACCCACAATAAAGAAGAAATGTTGTAAATTTTAGACATTTTAGATGTCGGTAGAAATGTTTTATGTGATGCGCAAAAAATAAAATAAGAAAGACTTTTTGGGACAGAGGGAGTATATTTTTATTTCGGGATTAAATACATAATTTAAGCTAAGGATCGAATTTATTGCACCAACACCCCCTGTGGTTTGGCAAATGTACACCGTTAGCCCCTATGATTTCAAAAACTACGCCGTTGCCCATCTGGTTCTAATATTGCGACGCCAATGCACGTATATAACTATATACTTAAATATTCTTCAAATATTATGTGAATAATTACACTACCCCTAGGTTTTGGAAATTGGCACAAATGCCCACTCTTTTCCTTATTATTTTTCTTTTTTCTACTATTTTTTTCAAAAATGTTTTTTAATTTCTTTTTTAAAATTATTTTTTTATAATGTTTTAATAATCATTTATTTTGTGTTTGCAATAAAAATCAATTAAATAATACTACTTCCGTCCCAAAAAGATTTACACGTTTTGACTAAAATTGAAATTAAGAGAGGGATAATTTTGTGTTGACTTTCCAAAAATACCCTTGATGTGATGGGTAAAAGTAGAATGTGATGTGTAGATTATTAGGAAAAATGTATGATGTGATAGGTAGGTTTGAAAAAGTAATGGGTAAAAGTAGTTTTTTAATTGAAATGGTAGGAGATTGTGGGACACAATTTTTTTGAAAGATGTAATTCTTTTTGGAACGGAGGGAGTAAGAATTAACTTACACCTCATTTGTTCCGAATTAAACATTTTCATTGTTTGTCAAAAAGAGGTCTTTATTGGTTCATTTTCATGATGCGAAAATCAATGAAACATTTTTTTTCACTACATCTCATTTCCTATTTTTTATTAATTTTATACCGTTTATTTTATTTTAATCAAAATTAAAATAAAATAAAAAAGAATAGAAAAGAAAGTAAAGAAAAAGAAGAGTATATGAAAAATGAAAATATTTAAATCTTAAAAGATAAAGTATATGTTAAATTTTTTATTTAATTTTTTTTCAAACACAAATATTTTTTTAAAACTTCTTTTTTAAAATGTAAGCTTGAAAAATATAGTTTTTCATTATTTCACACACACACAATTTTCTTCTCTTTTTGAAAAAAGAAAAGAAATAGAAAAACAATAATGAAAATGGAAGTTGGTGCACATTTCCAAACCATAGGAGGCAACATGATTATTCACCTAATATTTGAAGTATATTTTTGTCTAGAAGACCATTGGCGTAGCAAAAAATCAAAACTATGAAGAGCTTTTTGAGACCATTGTAGATTTACTAATAAACACAGGGCATATTCATGCAATAAAATCTTTCGAGATCTTAGGGAGTATATGATTTTAGATGATCACATGCATGGTTTAATTTGTGGCGTAGACCTTTTATCATTAGTTCGTGGTTTTTGCTGGACTGTTTTACTTCCTAAATAAACTTTCCCTTTCATTTTTTCTTTGTCCCCAAATAAACTTCTTTTTTCCTTTAAAAAACCACTTTTACCCCTTACTTTTTCACAACCTATCTATCAGATCATACCTTTTTACTAATAATCTACCTATCACATCTTACTTTTAAACATCACATCAGAGGTATTTTTGGAAAGTCAACACAAAAATATCAATCCCTTAAATCCTCAAAAAATCAAAAATGGAAGTTTATTTAGGGACGGAGGGAGTATTACCTTATTAGTTTGTAACCTATGCATATATGTATTTATGTGATTTGAGTATGTATATATATATATATATATATATATATATATATATATATATATATATATATTGCTAGTACGTGTAAGATTGTCACTTTATGTTTCTTGATATATTAATTCCAACCCGAAAACTATAAACAACAATAAAACTTATTAATTCATAGGTCTCTGTAAACAGAAATCAGATTTTGGGAGAAACCTATTTTCAGCTGCAGTTGGGATGAAGCAGAAAGAAAAAGTAGACATGATGGTCAGAAAGGCAATTAATCCTCTTCTCTCTATTTATATTGTGTGTTTATTATTTATTGAGTCAAACTTATTCATTTTCGTTAGTGTTAAAAAACTAACTCAGTCAAAAATCCAATCTTATGGTTGTGGTCCAAAAAAGATTTTTATACTTTAATATGCTCCCTCACCGCCTCACGTGCTACCGTTTTGAACCTTGCACGTGAAACCTTAGTTTTCTTAAAATTGGGTGGCGGTGTGATTCAAACTCATGACCTTTAGATCAACAAGGCTTTGATACAATGTCAAGATACTAATTCAATCAAAAGCTCAAGCTTGTGGTCGTGTCCTAGGAAAGGGATTATACTCTAACGCCCCCCTCACGTGCAGATGTGCCCCTGCTTCGAGTCTTGCACGTGAAACTTTTTTTTTAAAATTAACATGGGTGGCAGTAAGAGGTTCGAAATTGTGACCTCTTGATCAACGAGACTTTGATACCATGTCAATGAGCCGACTCAATTAATAGACCAAGATTAAATAAAACACGATATTAAAGTGGACAAATACTCTGGGATGGAGGGTATAATTAATATTATATTCTATATTTGTGACACTTATTTGTTGGCATGGAAATGCAGTTCCTGTCAAGTAATTTCACAGTAATGCTATTCCATTATGATGGCATTGTTGATGAATGGAAGGATTTTAAATGGAGCAATGATGTGATTCACATTTCAGCTCTCAACCAAACCAAATGGTTCAATATTTCTCCTCTTCTTTTTCCTTTTTTGATCATTTAATTAATTTCATTACATTCTCTATGTATATATGTATTTTTTGTATTGTTTGTTTGTGATGCACTAAATGAACAACACCCTCTATTGGGATGGGAAAAACTATACATTTAGGTGGTTCGCAAAGCGGTTTTTACATCCAGATGTAGTCGCAGAATACAACTACATTTTCCTGTGGGACGAAGACCTCGGAGTCCAAAACTTCAATCCTAAAAAGTATGTCTGATTTTCTTGCCAATTTTTTTAGTTTCTCTGTCTCATAAAACTCTTCGAAGACGAAAAAGCATGGCCTAAAAAAATATCTAATTTTGAGTTTTGGCTAACAATGGTTCAGTTTATTGTGTGATTAAATTATATAATTAGTTATTTGAGCATAATGAAGAGAGAAGGGCTAGAGATATCACAGCCAGCACTTGACACTGCAAAATCTGAGGTGCATCATCAGATTACAGCACGTGGAAGGAGATCAAACGTCCACAGGTTACCTTTTTTTTAAAAAAATTCATGTTCTTGTTTAATTTTTTTAATTTATTGATGCATATTTAATTTTGAAGAACTTAACATACAATTAATTATTGTAATTAATTTCCTTCCATGACATTTTACTCTTACCTAGAAACATTTCTTCGCTATTATTTCTGGTGCAGAAGGACTTATAAAGCGGGCGAAAATGGTACCACGGCATGTAACGAAAGTAGTATGGCTCCCCCTTGCACCGGGTACAAAAAAATTCTATCAATTTTCGTAACATTGCATTGGTTGTTATACTCTAATCAACATTGTTGTGGAAAGATTAGACCGGGAAAAAGTTAATTATTATGTGTCGTTACGCTCCTCTTTTATTTTTCTTCGCATTTTTTATTCGTCTCAGATTATTTTTGATAGTGTTGTTTTTTGTTAAGTAATTTTTTCCAACAATATATATATATATATATATATATATATATATATATATAGGTGGATAGAAGTGATGGCACCTGTATTTTCCAAAGCTGCATGGAGCTGTGTATGGTATATGATCCAGGTCTGGAATATATATATATATATATATATATATATATATATATATATATATATATATATATATATATACACACACACACGCACACATTGATGAACTTAACTTTTGAAATTTAAATGTGTTTGATAAAAGACATGTTTGAGTAGAGCAAAACTATATCTTATGATTTTCAACTCACAGAATGATTTAATCCATGCATGGGGGTTGGACATGCAACTCGGTTATTGTGCTCAGGTTCGTCAAAATCAAACAGTATCAATTAATTACTTGAGAAAGTATGTATATATATATATATATATATATATATATATATATATATATATATATATATATATATATATATATCTATGTATGTATGTATGTATGTATGTATGTATGTATGTACTCCCTTCGTCCTATAATGATCTTCTCAGTTCGCAAAACGAAGAAAAATCCCAAGTTTTTTCAATCTATTTTATTTAAATATTGGTATAGAAATAAAAAATAAAACATACATATTTAAAAACTACATCAAAAGTTCAACAAAACAAGTAGTGACAAGAATATTTTATTTTATCATATAGGCCATGAAAAAATACAAATAAATATAAATTTCCGTGAAGTTGGAATAGTGCTCTGGGAAGATCATTATAGGACGGAGCGAGTATGTATGTATCTATATATATATATATAGTAACTAAATAAGCTTTGGTTGTTTGGCTGTAGGGAGATAGAACGTCGAAGATAGGTGTAGTGGACGCAGAATACGTGGTACATTATGGGCTTCCCACCCTTGGAGAGCCTTCAAACACCAAGGTCACCCCCCACCCCCACCCGACACAGTACACACACATTGTATAAGGTATAAAGGAGGCTGAATTGCATCGCAGGTCATTCAAGTTATTTTGTCATGCACGATTAGTTCTTCTCTCAAAATTTCATGAATTGTCTTTCAAGCAACGTCTGCGTTGCATAGACTGGAAAGTTAACTAAAGGACCAACCGTTTAACGTGACTCGAATGACTTTGTGAAATTGGTACAATTGAAGGACTAACCGTGCATATCAGAATACCATAAAGGACAAATCGTGCAATCTAGCCTATAAGGCGATGGTGTCTGAATCAGATTCCTGATAACGACCATCAAGCCGGTCAAAGGGTGGGCCAAGGTGTGCCATACCAACCTAAGCCCATTTTTCGAGGGCTGAACAAACTTTGATCTTAAATCTCGAGTGAGGTTATTCGAACTTCATATTTCTAAATCCAAGATCAAAGTTTGAATAACTTCATTCTAAGATTACTCTCAGGGCTAGTCACGAGAGAAACTGTGAAGCAGAACCAAATTACACGCACTGTTACAATATAAAAATATTTCTTGAACTTATAAAGTTAAACTTTATCTATTAGTTGTGATTAATTGGTTCATCTCCACATACATTTGATTAAATATTGTTCCATATAAAGCAGGGAAGACCTACATTTTCATCCAACACAATCGACTTCAGAATCGAGGTAAGTCATTCATTTGATTTTGTAGTCAAGTTTTTGATAAAAATAAAAAAAATAAGAACAGTCAATTTTATTAATGGAATAACGTAGATGTCCCAAACACATTGCTTTGTAAAAAATTATTGCAAAATTAAGAGCACTAAACTATATTTTTGGGTAAATGTAGGTGAGAAGACAATCATATAATGAATACAAGGTGTTCAAGAGGCGGTGGAAAAAGGCGGCGGAGGAGGACCAGTGCTGGACAGATCCTTATCCGGATCAACCCTCTTCTATTTTGTGAATAATATTAGTTCATTATTATTAATTATCCCCATATACCAATTTTAATTATGGTTAGGAATTCAATATTATTACTAAGAGAGTATTTGGTAGTGTGAAAATTTGATTAAAAAAAGTAGAAGTTTTAAGTAGAAACAGAAAGTAGACAATTTTAGTTTTGCTTAAAGGGTTTCTAGAACGCATTTTAGACTTCAAAAGTCACAGTTTATAAGCCGAAGTGTTTCTGCATTTCTGGAATCCATTTTAGACTCCAAGAGTCAAAACAATTTGTTAAAAGTGAATGGAAGAAATATATAACTGTTGAGTGTTACTTCAAAGTCCTACATCGGTGGGATAAGAAAATTGAGGAGGGATTGGAGCCTATAAATAAAGAGGAGATATAGGCTTCCATCACACAACACAATCTTTCAATCTATATAATTGTGTATTAGATTTTAGGTTGTGAGTGTCAAATATTGGAGAGGGTTTGTAATTTTTCCGTGCAAAATTACTAGTGAGATTTTATCCCAGAGGGGGTCGTGGAGTAGGTCTTGAGGTGCCGAACCACGTTAAAAATTGTGTGCTCTTTTTTTTCCTTTTCTTTCCATTTGCTTGGAGTGGGGGCCTAACAAGTGGTATCAGAGCCAAGGTGCAGAGCCCGGGTGATCTAGTAATTATAATTCTTAGTATGCTCTGTGGTTGCAGCTTTGACTGATCTTCCACATCAGAAAAGAATTATTAATTACAGAGTTGCAGTCTAGGGAAGAAGGAGATGGAGCAAGGAGCAAGAGGAGGGCGTGCCACTTCAGTGGAGGAGGTGGTGGTCCAGTCAGCAGAGGTGGGTCTGTGAGTGCCACGTCAGCAGTCTGTGGATCCGAGTGCCAGGTCATCATCCAGTCAGCGCCACATCAGTAGGTCCAGTCATCGTGTGGGTCCCGCTAGTGACTTTCGGAGAGAAGTTGGTTCTGACTAATTTTGACGTCCTGATTCCATTTTTGAGGCCAGTTTCCTCAAATTTAGATTGTTTGGTATTGGTTGATTGCTGCTTGAGTGGAACTATGACTATCTTGAAGTTTGAAGTTCCGTTATTTGATGGAAGAGCGGACTTCATGTTGTGGCAATGCACGATTCAAGACTATTTGGTCCAGCCAAGTGATATGAAAGAATCAGAGTGGAGTACAATCCAGAAGAAGGCTGTCAGCACAATTCGGTTGGCACTGTCCCCACAGATTAAAGTGACAGTGCTGAACGAGACATCACCAAAGAAGCTGTGGGAAACGTTGGAGAGCAAGTTTGCATCGAAGACACTTACTAACCGGTTGATGATGAGGATGAACTTGTACTCACTGAAGATGGAAGAGGGAGGTAGCGTAATTGATCACGTCAACAAGTTTAATGAGCAAGTATCAAGGTTGTTAAATGCAGGGGAGACTATCAAGGATGAAGAGCAAGGGCTGCTTCTACTGGCTTCACTACCAAAATCCTTTAAGCCGTTTGTGCAGTCAATGATAGCAGGAAGGACTACACTGCGACTAGATGAGGTGACGACTGCCTTGAAGGAGAGTCAAAGGATGATTGGAGGTGAAGAGTCTTCCGGGGACAGTCATTTACTAGCTGGTGTGAGTGTTGAGAAAAGGAGGAAGAAGAAGAGTGACCAACTTGGGAGAAGATCTCATCTGAGAGACATGAGCACTGTTAGGTGCTATTACTGTGAAAAGTTGGGTCACACGAAGAACGGTTGTCCAGAACTCAAGAAGGACTTGCAGATCCTAAAGGAGAAGAAGGGCAAATCGAAGGAAGCTTCTTTTCGCAAATGTGATCACTTATGAAGATGATCTCCTCTGAAGATAAGAGTACTGCTGGACAGAAGATTCTGCAGGATGGGAGTATCGCTGCAGAAATCGCAAATGATGTAGGACTTTGAATTAAGGGGAGATTTGTTGAGTGTTACTTCAAAGTCCCACATCGGTGGGATAGGAAAATTGAGGAGGGATTGGAGCCTATAAATAAAGAGGAGATATAGGCTTCCATCACACAACACAATCCTTCAATCTATATAATTGTGTATTAAATTTTAGGTTGTGAGTGTCAAATATTGGAGAGGGTTTGTAATTTTTCCGTGCAAAATTACTAGTGAGATTTTATCCCAGAGAGGGTCGTGGAGTAGGTCTTGAGGTGCCGAACCACGTTAAAAATTGCGTGCTCTTTTTTTTCTTTTTCTTTCCATTTGTTTGGAGTGGGGGCCTAACAATAACAACATCATTAAGGGTCGTGCTAGGATCCATCAAAATAGTGTCCATCATTCTTATATCAGGGCAACACAGACATATAATATCTGTGATCCACAGACGCTGCGCGTGTCTGTGTTTCTCTGGTCTACAAATAAGATATACTGTTTTGGTCTGCCCCTAATTTTATTATATCATTAATTGGATTAATTGTACAATTAAGTGAAATTTGCATAAACAAAATTGATTTGTTGTTATATGTAGAGAATAAAAAAAATAACTAATTTAAATAAATAATTGTCTACTTCCTCCATTTCAAAATCTCTTTCTTGTTTTATTTTTTGTGCATCATACAAAACAACGCAACCCATATCTATAATGTCTAAAATATATCTCATTTCTCACTTATTGCAGATATACATTGTTTTAAGGATAGTTTAAAAATTCGAAATGAAATAGAATTCTTTTATAGTATGCGTAACAAATGAAATATGAAAGAACTTTTTGGACATTGGTTGCTAGCTTCCCACCGGTTGTCCGTTGTGAGAGCACATGGGTTGTTGAACGTTGCTATCCCAAGGAAAATGGCCATACATCCATATATTGCATTGCTAAGAATGAATTTATGGTTGAAAAATTAACTTCTTTTTTGAGAAAAACACTAATAAATACTCATCTGTACTAAAATTAATTTCATATTTGACTTTTTATGATTTGCAATGCAATATTTTTGACTATTAATATCTCTATTTATGTATAAAAATATATTATAAACATAATATATTCCAAAACTATGTTTCAAAATGAATCTATTAGTATTGAATTTATAAGAAAATTCAATGTGTTTTTTATACTGTGAGGTCAAAGTTCAAAAAGTTTGACTACGAAAGTCAAACTAAGAAGTTAATTTTAAGACAGAAAGAGTACTCTGTATAATTTTAATAAATAAAGGCTCCCTAATAAAAATATGTTATATTAGAATTACATTTTAAAATTAATCAAACTTTATTAAATTGTATATACATTTTTGTAATTTGCCGGTTTACAAAATTTGACTAAAAAATCAAATTATAAAGAATGTTTTTTTGAGGTGGAGAAAGTATTTGACTTCATTGCCTTAACCTACCTCCTCTATTATTGTTGGGTCACTTGTGGACTACATTGACCGCAACCCTTTTCTATTTATTGATGTCTAAATATGTCTATCTATGAAAAATAATAGAAACACAAGTTGAGGTAATGCAGAAAATAGAAACACGAGAGAGACATCACATACATATAAGTGAATATTTTCGTTCAAATTTATTATACTCCTATATGTTTAACTTTTCTTAGTACAAAATCATAAATTTTGATCAAATTTCACGTGAGATTTAAGATATAGAAACCATAAATTTTTTATCGGAGTTATCAAATTATGACAACAATTCTTGTTGTTGAAAGAACTCGGCCGCAATAACATAATCTTGCCATCACTTGTATTATAGATTTTTTTAAATTTTTTTAAATATAAATTTTATTTTATTTTTAAAAATAAATAAATAAGAAAATTAAAATTTTTTTAAAAAAAAGATGTTAAATTTATAAAAAGAAAAAAAGATGTTATGAATGGGCCTAATGAGTTTCATTCTCCGCAAGAGATTCAACCCGACCCGGCATCATTCAATCCATTTATTGCGGACTAGTAGTAGTGTACTCCGTAGTCAAGAGAAGCAAAGTCCCTTTCCCACTCTTTACAACAGTCCAACATATGGAGGAGTTATTAATGCGTTTACACCAAACCCTGTGTTGGGGGCCTCTCACCCCTCACTCAATGCTCCTACCCTCCAAACTTTCAAAAATGGCAAATGTTTGGTTCACAAACACAATCATCACAAAATTCACAAACTTACTATTTGTGAACTTTGATAAAAAAAATTAAATGGTCTAAAACAATTTTAAATTGAGAATTTAAACCATAAATAGTAAGTTTGTGGAGTTTGTGATCATTCTGTTTGTGAACGTAGCATTGCTCTTCAAAAATTTTGTTTAAATTTGAATTCGATTCCTGAGAGATAATTATGCTAAGTATATAATCTCTACTAATAGCAGATATAGACTCTATTATTTGTCACCAATCTGCGATTAAAGTCTAATTTACTTTCCTTCAAATTGGTAAATTTCATTTTTTTTTCGTACTAAATTAAGCAGGGAGAAATAATAATAATTTTTTAAAAAAAAAACAAATTTTAAAAAAAAAAACATGGAACGTAATTAGAGATGGCAGCCAAGGCAATTACAGGTCTTGGGCGTGAAGGAGCAGAAACCGAAGGGCCTGTTTGGTATGTTGCAATTGATGGCATAGCAGCAGGGAGACGGCAGGCAGTAGCCCTTCCCGGCGGCGCAGCAGGTGCACAGCGCGCAAATCCGGAAGCTGTTCAGCTTCCTCCGCGTCTCGTTCAGCTCCACCGCCGCCTCCGCCTTCCCGATCAGCGGCACCAGCTCCGCCTCCGCCGCAGACGCATTCGCCTGAAGGAAAAACAAGCAAAATGTCAGAAGCAGAATCGGTATAGAAATCGGTCGGATCTGCGGCGAGTTGACTCACCTGGAATGGTGTGGTTTCATGCGAGGTAATGAATGGCGGAATGAGAAGAAGGAAGAGGAAGAAGAAGAAGAGAACCCTACTGGGATTTGTAGGAGACATTTTTTATCCTTTTCCTCTTCTTTTTTTTTTCCAGTTCTGCGGTGTGTTTGTTTGTCCTTTAAGCCAACAAATCTTGGGAATGTGAGTACGGAAATGGGGACTTTTTTTATTTTATTTTAATAAAGTGGTTGCAAAGTTGCCATTTTTATGTCACGTTATCCTTTTCATCGAAAATCTTATGTGTTTGATTTTTAATACAGTAGAATTTAAGAAAATTATTAATAAAAAAAGGAAAATATTTTTTTTTGGTTATATAAAAAGGAGAATACATGATTTAAGTTTATTAAGAAAAAATATATAATTCTTTTATTTTTTTTTGTAAGAAAGTTGGATTTTTTTAATGGGTATAAGGTGGGTGTGGGGTGCAGTTGGAGACTTGGGGGGGCTGTTTTTAATGGCATTCAATTGATCAAGATTCAAGTGTGTGAACAAGTAGTTGAATTATAGGGGGGTTTGAGGGGTCTCACACTAATGATTCTCAACTTATTGGGTTTGAAGTTGGGTCAAACAAAATTGGACAATTCTATTCACACTTGTTCCTTAGAACTTGAACTCTTAACTTTCAGTTTCTTCCCGTTCCTTCCAGTTTCTTATAGTTCTTTGTGGATCTTTCCAGTTTCTTTCAGTTCTAGTTTTTTCCAGTTTCTTCCAGCTTTTTCCAATTTCTTCTAATTTCTTCTAACTATATTTATTTTCTTTAAATTCTTTCTACTTTCTGACAAATCACTCTAAAAAAATATATTATTATTATTACAACTTTTTTTAATTAAAACTTTTATATTCATAACTATAGTTTATAAATTATTTTATTTTTTCATCTCACTATTTTTATGATTCACATTCAGTCTTCCAGTTTCTTCCAATTTCTTCCAACATCCAGCTCTTTTTTTCCAGTCCTAAAGAACAGGCCCTAAAAGTACTTCTTAGAACTGATAGTTAAATTTGTTTTGAATACAACTTTAATTTTTTAAAAAATACAACTTTAATTTTTTAAAAAATACAACTTTAATCTAAAAAATTATAAATTTTTTGAACGAAACACAGAGAACTTAGAAGTACTAATTGAAACCCAAGTTATAGGTTATCCTTAGTTTCCAATGTCAAGGAAACCGATACCAAAGTGAGTAAAGATAAAGCCTACTTTTAAACAAGGGTAAAATTTTGAAAAAAAATTTATTTTGACCCTAAATTTATAACCCCATTTTTTACCCCCACTCTCTTACATATATTATAAACATTTACAGACATTGACATTGTTCTGTATCGGTAAATGTCTATAAGAGAGGGATTAAAACTTAAAAGTAAGGTTACAAATTTAGGGTGAAGAGAAGCATAACTCATAAACTTTACCTCTGAACCCCTCACAAGTCACACCTTGTTCCATTGCTCGGTAGTATTTTGAGGGGTTTAGGAACCCAAAAGAATGGAGGGTTGTGGAGGGAGTGGGAGGTTAAGGGGAAGAGCCACTTGGGTGCAACAAAGTAGGATTCTAGTGTTATAATATGACACCCAAAAGTACATGGTTAGAGATAATCTAAAAGCACATTACTACAATGGTAAACAGATATACAATCATCATAAACATTCTCTTGGTTCTCATGACATTGGGAATCAATGTCATGGGATGAACCGAGAGAGTTTTGATGACCCGTTCGTAAAACTGATAGTTTCTATCCCCCTTACCATTTAAAAAAATTTAAGTTACTTCTAAAATAATGAGAGTTTTTTTCTAATACTAGTGCTTATTGGTTTATTATTGATAAATATTTTTTTTGTAACTTTAAGCGGTTTATAAATCAAATATTTTTTGTGGAAATAAAATGATGTAAATGATAGATAAGTCATTTGAAAATTCATAAACGGTGATGGACAATTTTGTAAATAATCTAGTCAAAACGGAAAAACAAAAAAAACTGGCTTAAAAATAAGTAGCTAAGATTTGCTTATTTTATCTATCTTATAAGCAGTTTATAAGTAGACAGAAATACGCCCTCAACTGACTTATAAATTTAAGACTATTTATAAACAATTTTGACCAAGAGAGATTAAAAAATTTATTTGAATTCTTGGATTTTAAATTACAAGAGAGATTGTATCAAGTTATAATTGAACTTTGTTAGAAATTCAATCATTTTAAATTCACCTACATTAAATTTGGGTCAAAACTAAACTTAAAATTCGAATTAAAGTTCTTAAGCAAGCCATTAAAGAAGAAAAAACGGCCACGAAAAATTTGGTGGCAGGTGGCAACTATTGAAGTTTGTCATCAAGTAGAAAGACACCAAATCGTTTGTAGAGTGGGGGACCTGTAGAAAGGAGTCCGTTGGTAATTAAGCTGAATTGGAAAATACTAAACTCAACTGGAAAATAGGTTGAAAATAATATGGAGTACAATCCTTACCCTATGTCTAGTTCAAAGAATTTGAAACAAAAAAAGAAAAGAAAATTGAGAAGAAAAATATTTTTTATTTTTTGGTTAGGTAAGCAAAGAAAATTAGAATGAAAAGAAAATGAGAAGACAAAATATATTAAGGAACCTAATTCCTTATATTTTGGTTAAAAAATGAGAAAAATTATTACTCCCTCCGTCCCTAAATATTTGCCACGTAAAATATCAAGTTTTTAAATTCATTTTATTTACATATTGGTATAGAAATAAAAAAAATAAAATTTACATATAAAAAAACTACATGAAAAGTTATTCGAAATAAGAGATGTCAAAAATATTTTATTTTATCAAATAACCAATGAAAACGTAGAAATAAACAAAAGTTCCAGCGACTGCTGAAAAAGCAAATATTGTAAATATTTTGGGACGGAAGGAGTATTTTTCATTTCCTTCCAAATTCTTTGAACCAAATATAGTGTAATAAAAGGTAGGCTTCTTTAGGAACTAACAAAAAAAAGGTAATAAATATTTTTACAAGACGAAGGGGGTAATAAACACTCCATATCTGGCTAACAAGATTTCTATCTCAGCTAAACAAATTTCAAACACACACTATATAATTTTAACGCTCTCTTAAACATCAAACTCGGTAACTTTTTGGGACAAGAGGAGTATAAAGCTATAGAAAATTAACTAGAAATTGGTATTAGAATAATGGAGTCAAGTAATTGGACAAGAATACGAATAAGAGCCTCTTCTCTTCATATTATCTGAATAGATGTTTTATTAAGGTTTGGTCTGATTGTATTTATATTTAAAACTTTTCCGATCTGATGTAATCTGATTCCAATAATGTTTTGTTGCTACCAAACATAGACTACCAACAAAGCCAATAAGACTAGCAAATTTCAACAGTAAAGTTACCTAAACACAATTGGGCCATTTGATCTTTTGCAGCAGCGAGACTCCTAGACTGCAGAATCTTCAGTGTCCCCATAAACATGGAACCATAGTTTAATCTTCTCTTTTGACAGCATTAATCACCCGAACCACTTGCCTGATGAGTCCTGCAAAGAGATATCTACCTTCCAAAAGATGAATGAAAAGAAAACAAAACAATGACCACGTTTGGGAACAACATTTTCAGACAGCGTTTTGGATTATTTGTTAATGGGATTCCCTTTGAAGAAGCTAAACATTGAAGCTGTTGCCAAACGGGGACATAATCTTATAAGCCGTGTATTAAAAGGACAACCCAATAAAAGAGCAATAACATATGCAGAGATTTATTAAGGGCAGGCACCAAAGGGAACCTTAGAGTCATCAACAACATCACACAAATGCATTATTAACTAGTAGAGTTCTGTACATCTCCAACAGTGGAAATGAATTTACAGGCAAACTGTTATTAATTCTAAGGAATGTTTAAATGCATAGATACTGATTGGCATAACCCGGAGGAAAATCATCCTTCTGTGACCAATGTCATTACCCTCCAAGTGACATTTTTGAGAATGACAGTCACCTGGGCTTTGTGGAGCTTGCATCAGCGAGTATTTCTGAAGATAGAGCCAATGCACCGGTTCCTGAGGAGGAGGAACCCAAGAAATGCCGAAAAGTAGGAGGAGCGTTAGTTGCAGATGATGATGGGGAGAGACTATACGCGAAAACTCCCATGGGGTGATCAAACTTGCAACTTGGGCCAAACTTGCAGATCCCATAACGGGAATAGAATGTACATAAAGGTTCTCCCTACAATCATCGATATAAAGAAATCAATGTGAATTTTTTCTAGTTTGAACAAAAAACGGAGGGGCCCCGGTTGACACTACAGTGCCACCGAAGTTTTGGGGTACCTATGGAGCTCCGTTCGTAAAATTGATGATTCCTACCCCCAAATCCCCCGTCAACCCCCTACCCTGTCCCGAACCCACCACCCAACCCCTTCAATTTCATTCCCCAAAATTTTGTTGACTTTGGGTTCAAATGTTTTGACCCCAAAGTCAACAAAATTTTGAGTATGAAATTGAAGGGGTTGGGTGGTGGGTTCAGACCGGGCCAGGGTGGGGGTTTGATTGGTAGGGGAGGGGGTAGGGGCTAGGAGTCATCAATTTTGCGAATGGAGCACCATAGATGCTTCAATTCAAGCCGGTGTCATCGGTTGACACACAAAATGAGTGTCAACGGAACCTAGCCACAAAAAAATTTAACAAAGTAAACAAACAAAGAAACAGCAGAAACAAGAATAAAGAATAACTCACTGTGCGTAAAGGAAGCCCAATTGGACTCAGTAAAGAATTGGGAGGAGGAATGAGTCTTTCCTTTGGATGATGGAATTTACAAACAGCACCAAACTTACAGTCTCCTGTCTTCATGTAAAATTGGCATTCTGGTTGACCGGGTCGTTCAGGGAAGACACTCTCTCTCTGCTGCAATGTATAATATCCCATAGGTAATGTACCAGCACGATAAGAAGGATTCATCCCATGAGATCCCATGGTAGCTACCTCACTGGAACGAGACAACTCATAAGCCTGACTGCTTCCTGCTGTCACTTGTTGGCTCTCTGTGGATGAAACTGAACCAAGTTGTCCCTGAAAATAGGTCCTAAATAAGTATCAGATCCTAGAATGTTCCGGCAATGCTTTCATGAATCCAGTTAAAGTCTAAGGTAATTCTGCTTTTTTCTGCCCAACCCACAGTGTTGACACTACTTAAGTTTTCACCTTTACATGTCTTTTTTACTGCTAAAAAATACCTAAATCTTCAAAAA